GCGACACATGTCTAGAATCATGTGGTTTGTGGATCTAGAGTCTGCATCAATGTGCACATGGTTTGTGAATTTAATTGTGCGCATGTTCATGGACATGACATGACCTGGCCACACCATGAGGAAGGCCGTGCCTAAGAGAAAGGGAGGGAAGAAAAAGGCTAAGAAGAACAAGAAGAACAAGAAGAACCAAGAGAATACGGAGCCTCCAAAAAAGCCTATCACTATGGAACAAAGGAAAAAGAAGGCACACACCTCATGAGGGTTTAAATTTGTTCTGAACATGATTCTATATACATGTGCGCATGGTGCACTCCTTGTAGGCCATCAACAACATCTCCGGAGCATTTGTGGAGGGACAGTCCTGGGAGACAAAGCTTCAGGATAAGTCCAAACCTCAACTGTAGGAGTTCCATTGGCATGTATTCAGGGTTCTAGCTCTAGAGCTTGAATCTAGATCTTCTCAAGGTCCAACAACATGAAGAAGGCTTTGCTGAAAGATCTGGAAAGTCCATTGCAAGAGCTCCGTGCTATCCGGGACCAACTGGAAAAATCATCTGATGCCGAGGTGCCTAATTAAATTTGTTTTTCGACTGTGCAGGGTGTCCAGTCACGGGTCCATATTGCTAGCCACCCCCCTTCCCTGCAGATCGTACAGGTTGAAGCCGTCCTTGAGAGCTACGAGGACGTTTACCAGACCTACAAGACCTCGCTGGCAGCCTGCAAGAAGTATGTTTTTTGGCAGCACACATGCGCTCCTGCTTTGGGACTTGGAGATCTAGATGTAAGGCTCATCCATCCCCACCTCGTTAGCGTGATCATGATGCTGAAGCGGTGGCTCCAGTACTGGTACCGGTATATCGATCGATATAAATTTATTGAGCTCGAGATCGGTGATATCGATATCGATATCGATTTAAGTGCATGCTTCGAAGATCTCATACAGATAAATTGAAACCCTGCACATCAATTAGCTTGCACAACGCCTGCCATGAAGCGCTTTCTTTCTGAGCTCTGGGCTTCAGAAGCTCCGGAACCGATTCCATCGATATCCAAACAGCCTTCGAGCAGGCCAACAAGACTGCGCACTCTAGCGAGCAAGCTGGTTTCCCCATCAAGTTCTGAGGATGAGGGTCACAGTGAACCTATAAGAGTGCTCCCTGTTGCCTCACAATTCCAAAGCAGCCCTGCTGAACAATGCACTGATGCTTGGGGGAACAATATTAATGATTCACCTATTGGAACCTTGAGGTGCAAGGAGCTGGATTCCTGTGTGCGCAAACACACAGCTTGTAAAAGCCGGGCATCACCTAGACCTAGAAACGCGAAGCGTGTGTGTGGGCAAGTTCGCAGTGCAGCTCTTTATCACAATGTGTCGTTTACACAGAATCAGGCACAAGCCGATTGTGACTCACTGCCAGAGCCATATCAATTTGGATCTTCTTTTTGCATCGGGAGACGTCGATTTCACATTCCAAATTCCTCGGACTTGGACTGTTGTGCGTTGGCAGACTTCCAGTTGCATGAGTTGTCATTGATCCCCAACATCAAACCGAAGTTGATTCTTGATGCATGCAAGCGCTTCTTCATGGCGATTTGGCAACACTGCCTGCTACAGGTCCAGTGTATGATTCAAGATTTTGGAAACCAAGTTTGCATTTTCAAACTTGGGATCAGTTCCAATTTGCCCTTCCGAGTTGCACAGTATATGAAATGCAATTTTACAGAGATGCGCATAATTCATTGTTCTGAGGATCCCAATATTGTAGCTGTACTTGAAGTTTTGCTGATTGCAAAGTTTAGGGCATTCAAAGGATGTCGGAATTTGAATCCAGGAGGCGAAGGAAGCATGGCCAGTCGTTCTCCTTACGGCCCATATTTTGTGTACTGTGTAGGGGCCAGGGCAGATGGAAAGCTGCGAGTAGGCTGGTAGAAAAAATGTATATGGGGCCCAGGGTTGCACATATCCGTGTTTCTGCGCATGCATGTTTGCCTGAGGCTCCAGCTCCAAAGAAGAAGAAGAACGAGGCCACTGCTGCGACTAGCTGATCGGGCACATAGTCTCATTGATGACTAGTGGCACTTGCGCATAGATGGTGGAGACCTAAAGGCATGAAAGAACAATTCTGTAAAGCGCTAGTACTGATCGCCGTCCACCCCAGTGCTTGCCACTTCCTTTTAGCTGATGTGAGAACACATCAAGTCGAGATGCCTTGGGGAAAGGAAAACCGACCGCGATTTAGCGATTGCAAGTTTCTTTGTCCCTGGCCAGATGTCCAGCCGTTGCAAACTACACTGCTTCGAACTCTTCGAATTGCTTTTTTTAAATACATGTACAGCTGGGCCATCGATACCGAGTGGTATTGAACTCTAAGGTGCAGATGAGTCCTTCCACAACTTCTTGGAGGAAAAGATTGGGAATGGAGCCAGGGTCTTTGTTTAAGGTCGACATCCAAATTGCAAATATTTGCACACATGTTCAGCCATGTTCAGCCTTATAAATATGTGATCGCCCAGGAGAGTGTTGCACAGGCTGTCACGTCTGCATGCTGTGCATCGAAGGACACAGCATGCCAGTTGTTCAGGGTTGGTCCAGGCTACATGATTCTGCCTTATGCAAATGGCGTACTGGTTTTAAACTTAATTATGTCGCGATCGCACTTGTATAGGAGGCAGCTTCCGGCATGAGCCAAGCCACAGCCCGGCTTCAGAAGATCGGATCTGGTGGGAACTGGGCACGTAGTTTTTGGAGGCAAGCTGCTTTGCCAGTAGTTACTGGGACTTTTGATGCAGGCTTTTTGCCTTTCTAGATCTCTGTGCAATTTTTCCATGGGCTTGTTCAACTGTTGCAAGAGCCCCCAAGGATCTTGTGGACATCAAAGCACCTATCAGCAGGGATGAGCTTGGTGAAGACATAGTCATGAGCAACATTGCAGTTGTCAACATTTTAAGCTTGATCACATTTCTGTTCAATGACTATGGAATATGCGTGCCAGAAAGTCAGCTTGCGCGATACTGGCAGCACGTGCGGGCTTTTGAACCTTGGGGTGTGAACCACCCAGCGAGTGCTTCTGCATCCCACATTCCGATGGCCATTTATGGCGATGAATGCCGATACACTTCAAGTTCCGGGCTCATCGAACAAGTGATCGTCATATCGCTAAGCATTGTGCTTTTCTGCCCCAGGAGCACGCGTGCATCACGATTTCCGATAGTGGCCTTGCGCGCTTCTGAGTGCTTAGGCCCTAGAACGCTACGCCCGATTCTCCGCTACATCCGATGGGCGTGCAACATCTTGTACACTGGCTGTTTGCCGTTGCAAGGCTTCGAAGGATACACTCTGCCTCCTGGGCTCCAAGGTGTCACAGGCTATGAGCCCCTCTGCCAAGGTCTTCGGTTCTGTGTGACAGAATTTCGTGGTGACTGGAGTTGGCATTATTACATTTTTGGATTCCGCAACCGGTGGACATCCAAAAATCTGTGCTGGCGGTGTCAAGCCACTGCTGTGCGTCAGGAGGCTGCCACCCTAAGAGATTCGTATCTCGACTTTTCGGATTCAGCAACATGGAGGTCCACTGAACTCAGTCATACTTCGTTCATTTGCAACATGCTGCAAGATCCCATTTGTCGCCTGGACTGTGCTTTTTCAGTGTTTTTGTTTCTGGAATCTCATGAGATTTAAAGAGGCCTGGGGGCGATGTCATGAGGGAACCTGCAGCCGATCAGGTCCTTTATTTGGTATTGTGGGAGTGCACTTCCGCATGATTAGATTTTGCTCTGCTCACAACATATTTCTTGGGACATTTCACCGCACCAACGCGGGTGTTTTGTAACTCTGATGCAAATGTGCATTGGCTGTGTGTGTGTGCTGTGCACCTGTACGGTTGAGATTGTATCATTAAGCTCAAATTGGTGAGGTTGAGCCTCATTGAGTCTGGCTACTTTTGTCCATCGGATACATCTCTCAAGGTTGCCCTGAAGAAGGCCTTTGTACATTTCAAGTCTTGGAAACGGCTTCATAAAGTGCCCTGCAGCCAACCTTGCTTTACACCATCAATGGCAACTTGTTATACACCTAAATTTTAATTTAAGTTCTCTGGCCAAAAGGGAAGCTTGCGTTTCCACATGAATATATATGTCCTGCACATTTGCAAGGTATTGCACGGTGGAATCGAGCCATTGATGACCTGCAAAATGTATAACTCCCGCGTCGTATGCGCTTGGTTGGCTGAGTGCGCATCGGATCACGCAGCGCGCAACCCCACTGAAGAGAATGCATTGCTAAGTGGATGTGTGTCCGACCCTCAAAGAACCCTCAGCATGCGCATGCAGTTCAATCCTCGAGTTTCTGCATTCAATTGTGAACGCCGGCTTAATTTTTCGATATCGATTCGATTCGATCGTCCATCGTTATCGATATCTAAATCAAAACTCCCAATTGGATTCAGGGTGGCTGGCAACAACATGGTGCTTTGCATGGAGAATGCTGGCCGCTACTTGCCCAACCCTGAGACAAAAGTGTTTTCCATTATCTCGACAAAAAGCATGACCAGTATTGATCCTGTGCTGGAGGTCAGAAGCCGAAGCTTCGCGGATTAAGTATCATGGATATCGATACTTGAACTTCTGGAAGGCTCTGGCACGCAAATCAGTGAGGCCAGACCCAGACTTCATGTTGGTCCTAATATCCGCATGGCCCTGGAATTCATTCCGCCCCTGTGCCTGGATCAGGTGCAACAGGCTCCGCTTCGTCATGATTCCGAAGGCTCATGTGCTGGGCTGAACGAGTTTTGTGCGCATGCAGTAATGCATCTATCGGTGAGTTCTAGCAAGTGGGCAATCCGACTACACCCAAGTCCCTAGGGGCTTCATCACCAACTCCTGGACATGGAGGAATCTCGCAACTGGGCTGGCACCTCCAAAACACATGTACATGTGTATGCATGTGTGCAACCTGCACCAGTGGTTGTAGCTAAGGATACAACTGTCGGTACTATCACACCATGGCAGATGAAGATATGATGAAATACATCAAGGGTTCCTTGGGCTAAACGCTTTCAAATTTGAGCTGGATTGCTTTGCTAGAGTTAGGTATATGTGTGCATTTGTACTTGCTGAGGATTATGCAAAAATTCACACAAGTTGACGTTCTCCCGCTCCATTCTGAATCGGTCATTGCTACGGCTCAAAGCTTCAAAGAAGCGTGTAAAGGGCATGAGCCCAAAGCGGGAGCACAGCCTAAAAGAGTGAAATTAAGGGCGATGCTGTGTGGAACAGGCGAGTCGGTACACGGCGATCGAACATGTATTCCGGCGTCGTCGGCACCATTGGGTAAGAAAGATTCCACCGTTTTTGTTTCTGTGGGCAAAGCCATTCATGAGTCCTTCTACCACACCAGAAGCACGTCCCAGAGCGGCCATTCGGGTTGCACCCAACATTGCATTTCATTCCATGGATCAACTTTATGTGCGAGGGCCCTAGTACTATGTAATTAGACCTTATGGATTCTACTGCTGTTGTGATTTGACAAGTCGGGTAGGAGCATTTGTTCATCATTGTTCCCTTGTATGTTTAACAATGATTTTACTATGTGTTGTGTCAAATAAATATGTATATATATACACATATTACTAATCAACTATTATTGGCCATGTTATTTAAAATATATATATACTATGTCGAATGTATGAATGAAACCTACCAAAAAGAACATGAACCTTGGAAAACTGTGTGTGTGTTTTCCCACATCATGTCCATATACAAATATATATATTTATGCGCAGTAAAAAAAAGAAACAAACAACTTTTTAATAGGTGAACCCTTTATGACATGCATGGACGCATGAACCATCATGACACTTTGAAATATTTACGCACCATATAATAATGTAGTTGTCTCCATCTAAAAAAATATACCGGCATAGACCCCAGATAGCACTTCAAGAAAAGTTGGATAGCGTGGCAAGAGCGGGAGACAAGCTTGGGAGACATCCCACTCAAAGCCGAAAAAAAAATGGAAAAGGTAAACAAGACCTAAATCATCTTATAACAGCATCCGCGTCAAAGGCAAACAAGAAAATGACAAGGCGGCAGCGGCAGCCAAGAGCGAAATCAGGAACAGAGACAAGCTTGGGAACCACGGCGGCAGCGGCAGCCAAGAGCGAAATCATGAAGGGAGACAAGCTTGGGAGACCAGGCGGCAGCGGCAGCCAAGAGCGAAGTTGTGAAGGGAGACAAGCTTGAGAAACAAGACCGCAGCGGCAGCCAAGAGCAAAATCATGAAGGGAGACAAGCTTGAGAGACAAGGCGGCGGCGGCAGCCAAAAGCGAAATCATGAAGGGAGACAAGCTTCACAGACAAGACGGCAGCGGCAGCCAAGAGCGAAATCAGGAAGTGAGACAAGCTTGAGAGACAAGGCGGCAGAGGCAGCCAAAAGCGAAATCATGAAGGGAGACAAGCTTGGAAGACAAGGCGGCAGCGGCAGCCAAGAGCGAAATCGTGAAGGGAGACAAGCTTGGGAGACAAGCTGGCAGCGGCAGCCAAGAGCGAAATCATGAAGGGAGCCAAACTTCACAGACAAGGCAGCAGCGGCAGCCAAAAGCGAAATCATGAAGGGAGACAAGCTTGGGAGACAAGGCGGCAGTGGCAGCCAAAAGCGAAATCATGAAGGGAGACAAGCTTCACAGACAAGGCGGCAGCGGCAGCCAAGAGTCAAGCTTCACAGACAAGGCGGCAGCGGCAGCCAAAAGCGAAATCATGAAGGGAGACAAGACGGCAGCGGCAGCCAAGAGCGAAATCATGAAGGGAGACAAGCTTAGGAGACAAGGCGGCAGCGGCAGCCAAAAGCGAAATCATGAAGGGAGACAAGCTTGGGAGACAAGGCGGCAGCGGCAGCGGCAGCCAATTTCCGCAATCAGGAACCCATCCATTGAGAAGTAAGAACCCCTATAGCTCCGCTATCTGGGGAACAAACATGTAAAAGAGCAACTTTTTTGAAGTGGCTGTACAACTTGTAGGATCTCAAATCTAATGCCGAGGAAATTTTACTTTCCAAACCCACCTGAAAAAGAATCAAACGACCTTCAGGACCTATAGTGGGGCTATTTTTTTGATGTGCTTTCTTCGAACTGGCGATGACGATGTACTTTCCACCCACCCAGACTTCAGCTGAGGAAAATCCGGCGAGGGCGTCGATCTCACGGGCAAGCGGGAATCCGTGGAGACGATGATTCGCCGCTCGAGACCGGAGCGGTCGGGGCGTTGGTCTTCGCGATCCCGTGATGGGCGGGACAGGGGGATCCTTGGGTCAAAAGTCGGGTGTCAAGCTGGGTGGTGAGTCTCTTCTCATGAATCTGGCATACTATAATAGCTTGTTTGGGTGCTTAGATTGAGTGATTTTGGATGAATTTGGAGTTTTGGTTTCTCTTTGGAGGTTAGATATGAATGGATTCCACCCAGTTGCTAGGGTTTGGGATATCCCGTTCCGCACCTGGTTCTTGAGGGAAATGAGAGATTGGGAAACCGTGTAGTCAGTCACCATGTTTGCCATAGGCCATCGCCTATGCACGGCGATGTGCGATACGCCGACGAAGAAACCCCTGCTTTGGAAGCGATTTGGCCGGTGGTGCAGGGAGAACCCCAAACAGCATTTCCATCAATACCGTCTTTTTTGGTCTCAAGACTGCCTGCTGTTCAAGATTCACCCAGTCCGATCAATTGCTTATATTGGTTTCGCACATGGTCTAATAAGGTTTAATTTGTTAAAGGCTCCAAGTATACATGTACATACTGTAGGTAACGTATATGTACATCAGGTCTTGAAAAACAATAGCACAAAAACAAACAAACACCCAGCTATTCCAACCCTGCCGCGCCCTTCCAACCTTGGAAACTGAACGAAAAATCCGTTTCGAAGTGGTGGAGCCTCCGTCGCTTCGTCCAGGTCGCGTGACCCGGAACTTCTTTGGTTCCTTGTGCCAGGCTGGGGTGAAAAGTTCGCTAAAGTAAGCTGGTGTTGATTTGGGTTTCGATGGTCCCTGGTCCCCCACATTTCAGAAAATAAGTACGATAATATCATGAAGATTCAGATAATAGTTTATATATTGTTTTACAGGTGTTCCGTAACTCTGACATACCAACAGGATTTCTTGGCGAGTTTTGGGAGGGGCTCAAGAATCCTTTGTTGGTCATGGTGAAGTTTGCAGTGGGTGTTTTGACCCGGCGGTGAGGTGTTTGGGCTCGACATGTAAAACGCATATCACTTTGGTTCACTCTGTGTTTTAGGAACAGTAACAGTGAGCCCTGCCAGAGGACTCGTAGATGAACCACCTTTGGGCCTCCAGGGCCTCCAGCATGAGCACAACAAAAAATCTAGCAAGGGTGGTTGGTTCCATCAATGCAGGAATCAAGGGCAGTAGACCGCATGTCGTACATGGGGCTTGGCAGCCATTGGCTCCTGAAAAGCATAATAACACAATGAGAGACCCAAGAGACTGGAGACGAAGGAGACGAACAAGCAATCCCCCTTGAAGTACAAGTTCATCCCAGCTAACGCGATGTGCCCAATTCATGTGCCAGTGGAGGCCTATTACGAGAAGAAGTGGCTTGAACATGCCCACTTTCAGCTGGTCGTCGAGGCAAAAACTGCTTGGGATGTTGGTGCGCCAGGTGTGAGCTTTGGGATCCTCAATGGATTCGGCACATTTAGATGGTGCCTAGTTCGCTCCTACTTGGTTACATGTTATAACCATTGGTTTTCGCCCGTTTCATCTCCAAACCAGCGAGGGTGCAAACTCAGGGGCCAAAGAGTGGTTCTGTGAACATAGCATAACATAGCAATCCCCATCGAACCATGTTTGGCAGGCCGTTTCGGTTTGCATACTCCGCAAGCACGGTCCACTTCTCGTGGTTTGGTATGGCTGGTCCTCAAGGAAGATCGACCCTCCTCAAGCCATGGGGTTTCTCCGGTTCTTCCACTTCCATGATTCCATGCGTGTTGAGATGGAGGGTCCCTTGACGGCGGTCCGATGGGTTGGGGTCGTAAGCAGAATACTAACAGTAACTATAACGTATACGTATAAAGTCAATGTATTTCCAACTAGACTACGGTACATTCACTCATTCCTCCTTTTTGGTGGCTATAAACTGTAAACACTTCTATCAGTTGATGAATCAACTCCTGCACCCCAAATCCCCCTTCCTCGTTTGCAGAAATGGATTGGATGATTGGATAGTATGGTATATGATATGAGTCAAAGTCCAAAGATGTAAGCGTAGACTTAGGAGGGAGGGCACAGTTGTGCTGAGCAAGTGCATCAGATCATGCAAAGAGATAGGGTACACCAAAGATGGATAACCTGTAACCACATATATAATCTGTCCATTAATCTTGGCGTAAACTAACCAGATACTGTTAGTGCACTTTCACACAAGGGGCAATACTGATGAGGACAATTTGGACAAATTCAGCATGTGTTGCCATACCATTATCGTCCAAGGTGATTGAACCGTTCTAAATGATAATCTTAGCAATAACTTAGCGATAACCATTTGTTACACGAAGACCCCCGGCAAAGGGATAGACTCATGAATCTATGACAGCACCAAAAACAAGAAGTCGAGCCTGTTTGGAAGTGATTCCAGAGTTACTTTGAATATACAACCTGTTAAATTTCACCAAACCATGTAAAGCAATAGGACCCAAAGAACGCCAACTGCTACTTTTGCACCAGCCTGAAACACTTGATTTTGACTGTGCATAACTGCAATACCATCGTTTACCAAACCCGGGGCAATCCAATCCACCACCTAGTTTCACTGATATTTGGTAGCTTCCAATTTCCAACAGCTCGAATGGAATGATCTCCTTTTTTTTGCGCCTGTTTCTACTCAACGCCGTACTGCTCGGTTGGCTCAGGCTATGGTGCGCGAGCTTGTGCCGCAGGAGCTCTTAGACGCACAAGACCCGGGCAAAGTGGAAAGGTGCCGCCACTCAGCGTCTTCCGCCCCTTTCTGCGGTGGAGCACGGTTGGAATGGGAGGGAGTCATGTGTGAAGAAGTCATTCTGGGTGAGATGGTCCCATGAAAAGGGGATGTGATTTCACCATTCACCTTTGATTTACAGTAATTCATGGTTTGAGTTTCTGACATAAAGAAATCCTTGAACACTTTGATTCTGTAAGCTAGACTCCTGCCCTGAGCAGAAGGTGCATGTGTTAGACTCCTGTGTCAACCCACCGGGCAGATGGATTTGGGAGAGCCACGACTTCTCCTACGAAGAGAAGCGCTTCATCCCACACCTCTGGGACCTGGTCAGGCGTTTGGCCACGCGGATGCGACGCGTCTCGGCGTTTTTGCGGCGAGATACCACGAGAAACACCACGAGATCTGAGATTCCAACCGCCCAGACTGAGGTGATGATTTGGTATCAAAAGACTCCAGCTTGGGATGTTAATGGAGCCATGGGTTCAAGATGTTTGAGGCTTTTCTTGCAGAAGGCCATCAACGTACCAGGGAATCAGCGGGTTGCGGCGAAGCTGACGAAGTCCTCAGCTAGATGGGTTCGGGGATTTGCTGATGGAGATGATCGCCCAAGTCGGGCACAACATTGGTTGCAGTTGCACCAGGTTAAGACCTTGGTTGCTTCACCGTGCTGTTAGATGCGATTAGGCTAAGAGGACACAAGAGGACCACCTTGCTCAGTTGACCTGCTACAAGAGGTGCTTCAGAATTAGTGGAAGGTATTTGCCACTGAAACATCATACGCAATTGATGCACGCCCATTCATATGTATATAACATATAATATACTATAGTACTATATAATATACACTAGTAAGTCGGCTTCTAAGACGACCGGCCATGATGGTGGGGTGTGTTCCTGACGAACGAAACCATCGGCAAGCGCCTTGATCAAGCGGGGAGTTCAAGCGCCAGGGCCATTTTGGGTCACCGATCTTTGGGCCAAGCTCGCCGGGGGTCGATGATCCAACATCTGGATCGCTGTGATGAAGTGGTCACTGCCCTGAAAAGGCCGTTCATCGACACTCAAAAGACCTTCCGGAAGACCTTCGCTGCCTTAGAGCAGGGCCGCTTGAATGCCCTCAATGGCCCCGATGAAGGCCAAGCCCGGTTTCCAGCGGCCAGTGGGTGAATGCGGGAACGCAAACGCAATCCTGAGACCCTTGGGAACGGTGCGAACTAAGAACATCTAAGCACGATGAAAAGGCATGTTGGTCAGTTTCCCCACGGGCTTTAGTCTGGAACTGAACACAGCAAGCTTTCTGAATGATGGAGATATATAAATGTGCATAGACCTACAAGGTTCTTTTGTTTGAGACAGTTCGCTCAGCTTGATTGAAGAGATGTATTTTGGTCAAAGTCAGGTCGACCAGATTGGTGACATCTATATCGTACGCGGACCGGCACAAGTTAGTTGTACTGACGCTCTGATACTAGCAGCACAGGTGCTGACATGTTTAAGATTGCTTTTTCAATTCGGCCAGGCAGATTACAGCAATTGCTAAAGCCGCAAAGTGAAAATGACCCTTAGTAGAAACATGTTGGTCCTCTCGCAGGGTGGGTCAGGCTCCCATTTCAAGTGACTGTGAGTTGCAGGGTCGTTAATTGATTTTCAGCTCGTTCGCCACACTTCGCATTTGGCAGGTGTAGGCACCGAGCGGGCAGCAACATGGCAGCAGGAGTCTGACATGTGAGACCACGGCTTTTGCGCCTGACATTTGCTGACCTTAAGAAGTACCAGGAAGCCACGATCTGTTGGGAAGTAATATGGCATTTGCACTGCAGAGTGACATAGTTACAAAAGGATCAAAGGAAAACCCAGGCTTTGAACAGGATGTTTCGTTCGTTGGCCATGCCATTGGCCTTTGATGTTTCGTTCGTTTCACGTCTTTTCACCAGCCAAGTTCACCGAACTCGGTGACCGCTTCACCGAACTCGGACCCAGGCCACCTTCCTGCGCACCTGGATCAGAGGGACTCTGGACGTTTTCACCATTGAGGCCGAGTGGGAGCCAGAGGGGTGCAAGTGAACAGCAGCCCCCGGGGCCAGAAGATGTGAACCAGTGTTGGAACATGTTGGAACCATTGTAGCCTCCTAAATGGATAGATTGCCTCCTTCTGAAGGAGCTTTTGTTTTTTTTGTGAATCGCTGTTTAGGAAAGTCAGTCGATAGGCTAGGCTGAAGCTTTTAAGCGAACGAAGTGATAAATTAGGGGTGGCATCGAGGTGACATTTAACAGAGCCTGCTGGCGTTAATCACGAAAGGTAGCCCTTCAGGAAAACATCAGCGATACCTTGAGCTTGTCTTGCGAAGCAAGTGTGGGCTCCTCCGGATCTAATAATTTATAGTTCAATTCAAACCCCCTGACCGCTTCATCCCGAAGTGGATCACCTCGTTGGATATTTGGTGTTGAGCGCTCTAAGCTTGGGGCAGTGTTTGAGTCCATGAAGAGACATGACATGTTGTTTTTAGTGCTTCTTGTCGTTGAGGATTATCATATAACTATATATATATCCCTCATCTTCAACTACTAAAGTAAACTCCGGCGCAAATGCGTACTAAGTTTAACCAGGGTAAGTAGCGTACCTATTTCGCTACTAAGTTTACTTGAGGTGATTGAGATGATCGCACTACGTAGTTGCTGGTTTTTGAACGTAGTCATGAACTCCTAGAGTAAACTTCGGATCTTCTCAGATCCTAGGGTTACCAACGTAGTTGGAAGCTCTGAGTATATATATATATAATATATATATATGTATATATACATATATATGTATGTATTATCTCAAACTTTGGTCTTTTCCCCCACTCTTAAGTTGACGTTTGACTCGACTCCACCAACACCACACTGCATATTTTACATGTTTCTATTCTCCTCCCGCTGTCCTACCTTTCGTGTATCCCTCTTCTCAAGTTGTTGTGGTTTTGATCGTTTCCGGTGAGCTCGTGATGCAACAGATGCAATGTGAACCTGTGTCGGCATCACTTGCATCATAAGTCTGCTGGTGTACCGTTTTAGAAAAGAGGCTGATACTTGAGATCGGGAATTGAAAGCCAGTGGAAGTTAAAGGGCTCGTTTATGGGGCTTTGGACTCTAAGTTTGATATAGGACATAGTCTGATTCCGGATGACCAAACGAGGTTTCCAAACAGCACCAGTGAGAGTGTTACGTCGAGATTTACCGCAGGTTGCATCGGCCCGCAACATCAAACGCATCTTCTCTCGAAGGGGCAAGCGCCTGCCGAAAAAAGCGCGGCGGGGACAACGTAAACTTCCACTGACTTTCATTTCCTCAGGTTTGGGGTCATAGTAACAAAGTCGATCGGCTCCAGCTGTCAGAAGGCTTAATATGTTCCATTTGGATTTCTTCCTCAAAAAGCGGCTTTGATCGATATCCAGATTGCTTGGAGGCCTTTAAACAGTTCGGTTGATTTAGTTTTGTAGTCTAAAGTCCCGAATAAGACTTTTTGGTAAAGCACGGTTAAGTTAAATCAATGGTGGTTGGAAGCTTAGGATTCTTTCTGGTGAAACAACATTTTAAAGGTAAGATTTGGAGGTGAGGAGGATGGGCTCAAGACATGGAAAGACACAGGTTGAATGAAGCAGTTCTCAACAGACTGTTTTGGCGCCGTTTGTCCACTCAGGAAAGGCACCTTTGTGATAGGTGTGTTTTTCCTTCCAAAACAGTCTATGATGTCTTTCCTGGTTCTGGACCAACCCTATACAAAGCTGAGAGAACGGCACTCCCTGACTCATGGACCGTTGAAGAGTGTGTTTGGGCATGTCGATGCGATTGAACTCACATCGTAGCCACAACTGAGACTCCGAGTTTCTAGTTTTTTTTTTTTTTTTTCGACCTCAGATGGCTAGAGCTGTAGAGGTGTATCAACTATGACCTATGACCTCCGGGATTCCAAAAAACTATAGCTGTAGAATCCCGTTGATTTCAATGTCAGGAAGCTGCAAGAATCATATGTCTATGGCCGTGTCCTATGGCTCACATTCAGACGGTCCCTGGCTTTGATTCTGGCTTCCCCTGGGGGTTTCCCTTGTATTTTGCTCAAGTAGCCAGCCCCGTCCTTTCTTGTTTGGAGGCCCGTGCTAAAGTCACCTAGACTTCACCTGCTTGAGCCACCCACCTGTGACTCAATCGGAGGTTTGGTGGAATCTCTTCGGTGGATGGGAGTGCACCAACAGATTGTACCCCTTCAGTACTTTAATTAGTAGCTAGAAGCTATTAGGTGGAGGCCATCGCAAGTAGGTTGGAGCCCAAGACTAGTAACAAGAAGCTACTAGTAGCTTCTTGTTACTACTAGCGATGGCCTCCAACTAGCGATGGCCTCCACAGTGCGTAGCTAGATGGGGAAGTTTGTGAGCCCACGTGACGGGCGGAGCAACCGGACCAAACCCTTGTGGCACTCACCCCGTGGTTTGATCTCGTTTTTCCGTCCACAGCAGCCGCAGCATGGTGATCCTTTGGCCTTGTTGGAGGAAGAGAAGATGGTTGAGGTCTTTGCATGTGGCCCAGATGAAGGGTAGGCTTTCTGGACATCTCTTCAGTTGGGGTAGATGAACAGTTGGTACAATTGCTTCAGGTTGTGGTCCTACCTGACAGTTTGATTATGCACTCAAAAAAGGAAGAGTGATGTGAGTGATGTGCGAAGTTTGTTTCTTTCTATCCGCCACTCAGAGCCTGCACAGCAGGCTCCACACAAGGGATTGTTTGGGAAACCCTGCTGTGCTCGCTGTGCTGACACGTCGTATTCTATCTCATACACCATATGAGATCAGATCCAGCATAATATCGATATCATTATATTAGACATCCAATAAATATGATCGTTGGTGACTAAATAGCATCGTCTGAGCTCTCACTCATGTCGCCGAGCTCAAGAACTTCCACACACGAAGGTGTTTGTTCTTGTTGGTCAAAACCTTGCTTCGACTTCCACCCAGTTCACCAAGTCTCCGGAAGTGGAGTTGAAGCAACACGTTGAACGTGTTGCCTCGTAGCGAGGCCTGTTGAACACGTTGAACGACCAGGGCGCTTCTGTCGGCTTGCCCCAGCGATGGACCTGCGAAGCCTTGCCGCCTCCTGAAGGTCCGCTGGGTTGACACCGCTTTTTGGGGTGCCGGCCTGTGACAGGACGAAAGCAAAGAGCTTGAAGCAGCAAACAGGAAGCAAAACCGGTTTTCGTGTTGGTTTTGATTGGAAGGTGATGGTTTCTTGATGTTCCCTGCTGTTCAGTCTCGGGGAAGCTCAACATATGGAAGAGCAGGACGAGTACCCCTGTTTTGACATGAACACTCCATGAATATCCAGCCATGATTCTTTGGGATATACAAATATAAGTCAAAACTGGGTGGGGTGCTGGTTGTTTCCTTATGTTGAGACATGGCTAAGTATGATTCATGGACATAGACTTGCTGTGTGGGCTGCCGAGGGCAGCAATCTGAAGCCTTCAGTCTCGTTGGATTCTGTCAATCAATGGCTCCCTTCCCCCCGAAAAAGACATCATTATCAGCTATCTCTCCACCTCAAAAGGACCAGTTTTACGAGGTCCTGAAAAGTGGTCCCAGTCAAACGAGGCACTTGACTTGGAGGGTACGGTTCAAGGATGCTTTTCTTTTTTTTCGGGTGGTTCTGGGGGAACGAAAGATGGGTGTATATATCTTTGGTATTTTTTTGGGGGGGGGACGGGACTAGTGCCCCAAGCAACCTGCTCAAGTGTCAGCATTTCGGATGTAGTTTGTTGCACACCAAACATGTTCACAGACCCGAAGCCAGCCAGCCCGTGAACCCCTCGCATCGATGCTAACGACTCACACCGCAGAGTCTCCTCACTTGCGCAACCAGAATTGACGATCCCCCGGCCTCCTTCTTCCAAAGAGAAGATGGACCCATCATACACTGCACGGAAATCCGTCTGCATTGACCAGCATTTCTGCAGTCTTCAGAGCTCGAACCCTCGAAAAGATCGAACCCTCGACAGCTGAGGTTGGCGAGGTTTGGTCCAGGAACTTCTGGGCGCTGCGGTGGTGTCCTGCCGCGTGCGCCTGCAGGTGCTGGACCGTGAAACCGACCGTGAAGATTCACCTTCAGGTTGTGTCCAGCTGCATGGGGTCAATCACACCTGTTAGTAAAGACCTGGCGCCACCTTCTTCGGGTAGGTCTCTTCATGTGTCCAGCGATGTAACGATGTCCAACGCCATTTTTTTTTTCGTTGGCTTTGAAGTCTGGTGCAACGTGCAAGTGGCAAGAAAAGAAGACCGCTGGTGCCTGTCTCAAGGAACGTCTCCAATGGTTTCCAGGAATCACAGGGTGAGGATCTGAAGGAACTGGTCATGAAGGAATCCTGAGCACCCAAAGTCATGAAGGGAAGCTGGTCCCACTTCATGAGAGCGCAATGCATGGCGTTCCGCCTGTCAGCATGTTTAACATGCAAAAAGAGGGATGTGTCTCAAAATCTCGAGTACCTATTTGGCTGGAAAAAAAAAGGCGTAAGTCAATGATCTCCTCGATTGTTTTCAACTTCTTGTGTCTCTCTGTGGTGTGGCCTGCCCTGCATGTGTTGCAGGAGGGCGATGGGAAAGCCTCTGGAAAGGGAGGCCGGGAAGCGGAGCAGTCGACTGCCAGTGAATCAGGGGAGTCTCACTCTACCGGTAACCATGAGGGATCATGGCGGTTGCCAAATACCAGAGGAGGCCCATTGCAATTAGATAAGAATGCAAGATAAGGCAGGTTTCGTCTTGCACAAGTCTCTTTCACAAGCTGCCCAGGTGTGAACTAATGGGTTTGGCATGAGTGCCACCATAGCAAACCGGGAAATGTGGATTTGAGTTTCATCCCAACAAATTCCAACCTTGCACAGCCTGGCTCAATGCTCAGCCTCTGCTCATTTCTTCCGTTTTTAGCTCGGAGGATCAGGTTGAGAGGATGAGGGTTGTACTCGCTGCTGCTACTGTTTGTACCCTCCGACTCATGCTCACACCATGGCTGGGTCCCTGGAAAACGGACAACGTGGCCCTGGAGCTTCTGCTTTTCAAACCATTACACTGGCAGTGCTAGTTCTCAGGGCAGGAAACCTCGATTCCTGCCCCATTCTTCCGAATAGCAACACCTGGTGTTGGAATATCATCTGCCAAACCTTCAGAGCCGGTGGTGCTCCACAATTTTTCCAGCCCACTCCCCATCACTCCAGACATCTGTCCGCAGGGAAGGCCGCCCCAAGCAGTGCGCCTGCAGCTTTTGCACCTAAAGGCAGCCAGGACGAGCTTGGGGCTTGGGACTGAAAGGTTGATAGAACGAGGGATGACCAGGGATGAGAAAACATTACCTGGATCTGCAAATCAAAGACCATTGACAATTGCACTCTTTTCAGAAGACCTGGGAATCCCCTTGAAGGGATGCAATCTGTAAGGACTCATTATGAATTATGAACAATCACCATTGATACTCGCTCATCTGTTCAAGGTCCCTTAAGCCCATCCGAGATGAACCGGTTTTGAGATTAAGCCATGCGTTGTAGACTGCATCCAGGCAAGTACATGTAAAAAAAATGTTTTTTGCTTCCCTGATCGTTGAAAAGATATCAATTGACCGGCCAGTCATGGGACCCCATGGTAATTAGCACTTGGTCCTGTTTCACAGCAAATGCCAAGTCAGCTGACTCTTTTCATAGAGTCTTTGTGGGCGGGAAGAACAAGCAATCCCAAGTGAGTGACCACCGGCGGTGCACCAGCTGGTGCCCCAAAAGACCGCTGGTGCCCCTCCGAGGGAGCCATCAACCTTGCCAAATTCACATCAACCAAGGCCAAGGCCGGTTTTTGGAGTTCCAAAGCAATGTCTTTTCCTCCAAAGATACACCAAATATCAGTTCATATTCATAGTCACTACTTCTGGGAGCTATCGAACTCAGACCCAGGACTGAATTCACCTGGAACTCACTGGTGCCCCAGGAGGTTTGGTGGACACGGCCTGTGCGGCCTCCACCTCCCCGCACGCCCGCGGCGCCCACGGCGGCTCCGATGGTGGCTGCGCCGCCGGCGAGAGGGGCAGACGCAGGCGTGGACGGTGGACGATGGGCGGCTCGATGAAGATCCAAAGGACGGCCACCCGTGTTGAATTCGTGTCTAGAAGCTTTGCTTTGGGTGTTGGGGTATGTTACGGTATATCTAGCTGGTCGATGATAGACGTCTAGTTGCAGGGTCTTTTGGAGATGAGCGTTAGATGATTGGATTACAACGATGCTAGATGAGTTGGTGGACCTCTTGGAAGATCACTCACGCGAGTAGGATGCACCCAACTTGGCCGCATCCGAAGACGTGGAAGTGAAGGGTCTCCTGCCGTGGTGACTTGCGAAGAAGCACGCTCTGACTGTGTCCGAAAATACAAAAACATTCCTCAGCCTCAGGAGGTGAAGACATCGAATCGCTGGCACTTGGAACTCCAAGAAACTCATTAGTTAATTTTGGCTTGGGAGTGTTCCGCTTCCGTCCAACTCCTGCAAAATGCATGGTCATTTTTGTTCGGAACCCCGCGCCTTTTGCACTGAAAACAAGCAGAACTCTACCCTGACCTGCCAGATGTCAACGCCACCAAACCTCACTGGTTCCGCTCAGGCCCTGGCGGCCCCCCCACCGCCTGGAAGGAGCGTTTTCGTGAGACCCCGCCAGGGGTCGTACGGCTCGGCTGGATAAGCAAAAGTCGGGTGGAACCGAATCGCGCGCGCGGGATTTGGTGATTGTAAGTGGTGTGTTATTGGAAGAGGAGCCGCGATGTTGAGCTGATTGTTCCAAATAAGACACATTTTCCAGTCAGGGATGGTTGTTTGGACTTTGAAAGGATATATGGTAAAATCCCAAGTCAGATTCATCTAGAGGGTGGTGATTTGGTGTGGCTGGAAATCCAGAAGGACTAGCACCATGCTTCCAATTGCAAACAGCAACACCATGCGACACTCCATGCCGTTCGACGCGTCACACGGCAGGTGTCTCGTTCCGGCATTCAGTCTGCCATGTCCATGGGCCTGAGCGAAGGCATGTGCGGAGAGTGGGGTGGTTGCTGTGGGTGGAGAGTGGGTGATTCTTGACCTTCCAGAATCGATAGAAACAACTTCCACTATCTTCCAAGAGCCCTTTGGGGCAGTTCTTTGCCATTTGATTTTGATCATAATTGATCTGTTTAGGGTCACTGGACAAAAATCAAGTGCGTTTGACTGTATGATCATCCCAGAGAAAGTAGCGGCTATAGTGGCGCTTGACTGTTTCTTTGGTGCGAATCAGTCAGACACTGTCGTGAAATCATGTACGAATTCAAGTCCCTCCAGCTGGCTCCACGGACTTTTATCGGGTTGTGAAGCTTCCCATCAGGCGTGCCAAACATTTTTCATGAGCTTCAAGTTGTCCCATCAATGATCTTGCCATGTCAAATGACGTGTTCCTTCATATGTTTCGGACGGGTATTCTGCACATCACAGAATTCACTTCATGTTTTATTTTTTTTTAACAATGAATCGAAGCATGGCTACTGCAGAGTTTTGTCTGCAATGATTTTGGGCACAAGCCTGAATGAGACCTATTTCAGGTCGAAACTAGTCGTAGAGCAGCCCAAACTTAACGGCTTGGGAAGTGCCAAAAGAGCGATCATTGGCAGGTTGAGGTGATTTTTGTTCACAGAACGAACATGAAGTAATGGCAGTGTGACTCAGACCCACCATATCAGTCACCGGCCGGAAATGAGCCAAACTAGACATGACTATAGACCAGTGACTAGAGAGGCTCTTGTTAAAAAGGTTATATATGTTTTCCAGTATGTTTTGGATATTCTGTCCATGTGGCATTTGCGTTGGTTCTGTACGCATTTGGTGTAGATGTTGAATCGCACAGAGTGACCCAAATTATGCATTTAGCATGTGTTGGTTTGTGTGAAATTAATTGATGTATATTTCTTGGAGAGGTTGCAATCTCAAATAGCGGTCACCAGTCACCAGACTATTCATTAACTTGAGCAGTCACTGGCTTGGGCATGGTCATTGGCATCAAGACCTGATCGTATATTGGAAGTGGATGACACCAGGACCTCGGCGAAATCGGTTTACCTTCAGTTCGGCTGGGAAGAAGCCCAAAACGATTCACTGCCCCAGAAACGGACTTGGGAGGACGACCATTGGCCAAACATGTTTCTGTCGGGCCAGACGGGAATCCCAGACGTCTTCGTTCTGGTGCGTCCAGGTGGTATCCGGGACCTCCTGGCACCGGTGAAGGCGAGACAGGATTCTGTTTCAGAGACAGAGAGGGTCCGAAGAGTCGTTTCAGAGACAGCTGCGTTGGATTCCGGGAATTCCAAAGGGAGCTATTGATGACATGTTGCTGGGAAGGTCCCTTCGGACCGTTTGTTGGACTCCTAGACCTTATGAAGACCACTTTACAGAGACCAACCAGTTGCATCAGTTAGCCTTAGTGTACCATGTTTTTTGCTTGCAGACATCCAGTTCTCTCTGAGTGAACACATGTGTTTTCGGCTTGCAGACAAACAACCGAATGACCTGGCAGTCCAAAAGCCCTGGTCATGGACACCCGTCCTCAGCTACGGGCCCAGCACAGCTGCACCAGATGTCCTCACCAGCCTCACCAGCTGCAGCGTCCTCACCGCGAGGCACCACCCTCAGAGCCTTCAGAGGTGGACTTGATGGCGGTGGCCCAGGGAGCAGCGCAGCAGGCAGAGTGAAGCGCAGCAGGAAGCTGGCCGTGCCACGGAATAAGCGATAGTGGACCTGCATGGGATCTTGGAGGAAAAGAGGCAAGGCCAAAGGAGAGCTAATTTTGTGAATTGCAAGGTTGAGGTGGTGTGTTCAAGCGTTGGATGTAGGAAACGCGAGTACTGAGTCACTGAGTTGGGCAAGTTCCATTCACTTGACTCTGGAGCTGCAATGGCTCTCATTTTCTACATGATACTACATGTATGGCTGGATATCCCCTTATTTCGGAAGACATCCATCAAAACATCATCCGGCAGCTTTG